AGTAGAGTAAGTAGTGAATATAAATAGGAGCGTACGCTCCGGCGGGTTGGTGGCAGCCAATATCGTGTTAAGTACGGCCGTCAGGACCCTGGCTGGCGATCTCAGTGGTCCCCGGTGACAGCGGTGCGACCCGTCGGCGAGCAGGCGTCCCCAGACTCGTTATATGGTGGTCATACAGGGGCCAAAAGGAAGAACCAGCAAGCAATAAATTACGGTTTGTATTGTAGTAAGGAACGGGTAATGACAATAACACGCAGTGGGAACGGGAAACAGCGACTCCGAAAATCAAAGCCCCTCGATGGAAGAAGTTTTTCCGTACTAAAAGCGTCCTAAACGTCCTAACTTGTCCTAATACCTACTGTCATAAATTACGGTATTGGCACAAAACTTCGGCATGGGTTATAGGATCGTTAGGACAGTTAGGACAGTTAGGACAGTTAGGACAAATACGAAACTTGTAAGGCTACACTACCCATGCCAAAGAGAGATATCTTATGGCTTACAGAATGCAGAATGCTACTCAAACGCCATGTATTCACCGGGGACTTCAACGTCCACAGACCGCGCATGAGCAGGAGCGCTCTGTCGACCATGCTTGATGTACACGGTATGTTCGAAGCATCATCGATGAGACCGCAGCAAAGACTAAATGGAACGCTTTCTGGAAGTATTTTGTGCGAACGTGGACAAAGAGGTTCGACACGTCGCTGTGGAACGTGAGCCAGATGCGGCGCAACAATATGAGCATGATAAATCGGACTAATAACCCGCTGGAGAAGTACAATCGCGATTTTGCTGCTCGCATTGGTGCGCCACATCCAAGTATTCTCGTCTTCATTGAAGCTGCAAAGGCAGAGGCACATTCCTACATAAAACTGCTGGACGACATCAAGCATGGTAGCAAAATCGAGTCGCTAATGCTTCGCACCGGTGCAGCCTCGATTGCACGGAAAATGTCGCCACCGGTGGCACCTTGGCGTACGTTTTTGATGATCGTAACACCACTCGGACGCGCAATACCGTAGATAGTTGACGGGTGATGCTTGGTACGGAAACTATCAAAGACGCGCTGCCACAGAACACCAGGTGCAACAGCGAAGTCTTTAATGGCGCGATCTTGCAGCTCCAAAGACATGTCGTGGCGTACGTCTGCGACTTCTTCTAAAATTTCTTGGTCGCAGCGGTGAATATTTTTTTCGATGATAGTGCCCCCCTTCTTGACTACAAGACGTGCTGGACACCCAGTCCGGAACTTCACGCAGCTGAAATAGGTTGTTCCTGTCTCCGGGACGGTGCGCTTCTTGCAGAAGCGGTAGTTCTTGTGCTCCATGGACAAAGTTGTCAAGTGACAATAAAAATTAAAACAGCTATGTGTTTCTGCATGATTGGTTCCCGTTAACTTTTAAAAACCTCAATCCCAAGTTCGACTCAAAATAGGTTTTAGGATATGTCCTAAATTTCCGACAAAAATACCGGTTTTTAATTTTGGACAGTATTAGGATTGCAATGTTTTTCCGGATTTAGAACCTTTTTAGGATACATTTTGCAATCTATTCCAGTAATTTACGACGTATTTTAGGATTTTGTAGGACAGTTAGGACAGGATTAGTACAGAAAATTCGACACCCGGGCGACGCGTCGCCAGTCATGCTCAAGCGACGGCGTCAGGCGCAGTCTGAAGATTCAATAGTGGAGAGTAATTTCGGGAAAATGTTAGCCGCTGGCGTGATAGAGGAGGGGAACGGCGCATGGGGATTTCCTGTCGTGCTCGTTCGCAAGAAGGACGGCGAAGTTAGGTTTCCGTCGACTATCGTGCGCTTAACAATGTGACAAAGAAGGATGTGTATCCTTTGCCACGGATCGATGAGACTTTAGAGGCATTGGGAGGCGCGTTGCTATTCTCCACACTGGACCTGAAGGCTGGATATTGGCAAATTCGAATGGCGGCCGAAGCCAAAGCGAAGACGGCCTTTGCCACCTAGCAGGGACTCTACCAGTTCGTGAGGATGCCATTTGGCCTCACTAACGCACCCTCGACATTCCAACGAATGATGAATGCGGTGTTGAGGGGGCTAACTTGGCTCACTTGCCTCGTTTACCTCGATGATATTGTAGTCTATACACGAGGAGATATTGAGAGGCATGCCCTGGAACTAGCATGTGTATTGGAGCGACTTTCCATCGCCGGACTCACGCTAAAGCTAAAAAAATGCGTGTTCGCCACACAATACCTGGGTCACGAGCTAGGCTCCGAAGGTGTTCGACCTCTGCCACGACTGGTGACGGCAGTACAAGACTTCCAACGACCACACGATGCCGTCGAAATAAAGCGCTTTGTGCATCTTGCGGGATATTACAGAAGATTCGTGGAAGGATTCGGATCGATTGGCGCTCCACTAACCAAGCTGTTGAGAAATGATACGGAATGGGAATGGACGGAGGCGCAGGAGGATATTTACCTCCAGACTCCACAACGAAGCAGCTCAGACTCCACAACGAGCGCACACTCTCCCATTGGCGAAAATACGTCCGTTTTAAAAGTTGTTTTTAGGAAGATAGGAGTACGTAGCGAGGCACAACATACACGAATTCGCGCTGGAGAAGTAAGATGCCGATTGACTTATTGGGAGAGTATGGCTACAACGATATTTCCCTTCACATTGCTTTCGCAAATGCTGATATTGCTGGGAAATTTATCAATGACTTTGCACTGAATACAAACAAGTCTGTACGGCTCGAGAACAACCATGGAAACTACAGGAAATGGGTTTGTTCTGCGAGGGGCTGTCAGTGGTTCGTTGTCTTATCACGGAAACGAGTGAGATTAGAAACGAAGAGTAAACGTAAGCGACCGGTGACCAAGCTCAGCTTTGTTCCAGACAACTTTTGGTACACTTCGAAATTGAATCTTCAACATGCTCAATGCTGTTGTAGCACGGCCAACCCAAATAGAGGTCAAATCGAGCGCTTGGACGGATTTCGAGCGGCCATTTTGGAGGGCCATAGTTCGTCAAAGACTCGAGTTATCAACAATTTGGAGTCTGTCGAGCACATCAATGTTTCGAAGAAGCATTCTGTGCTTTACCGAGCTATCAGTTCTGCTTTGAGTAGATTGGAAAGCGATACAAACGAAGAATTCAAGGCGCTCCCAGCATACATGGCGTTGTTCGCAGAACAAAACGAAGGTTCGCATGTGTGTTGCCAGCTCGATGATTCGGGTCGTTTCTATCGTTCTTTTATTTCAACTGGTCCAACTTTGAAAGTTCAGGACTCTCTTCATCCTGTGTGGGAGTGTGACGGAACCCACATGAAACACGAAAAGTATAATGGCGTTTGTTTGACATTAGTTGGAAAGGACGGCAACAAGAGGATTATACCTGTTGCTGTCGCGTACGTTCACAAAGTGATCATTGACAATTTTGTTTGGTTTTTTGCAAAGTGCATTGCAGCAGGAGTATTGCTACATGACCGACCGACCTTCTCGGATCGTGGGAAACAACTTGGCGCTCAGGAAGAGCTCCAACGTTTAGGCTTACATGTGCATCTCAAGTTTTGTGCAGTTCACATTCGGTTTAACACCGTCGACAAATTCAAGAAGGTCGATGTGAGAAAAGACAATGTCAATCAGCACATAATGCGCTTGCAATCGGCTCGCACAGTACGTGAATATGAACGGAGCATCGAAACTTTGAAGGAGATGTTTCCGGTTGGAATACCGTCAGGTAGTGGTGGAAAACCCACGGAGGAATTTGTGTTGACGTACCTGCAGAAGATTCACCCGACTAGCTGGACAGTCTTGGGCAACAGTGATTTGAGCGAAGGTGAAACTGCGTGGCTCAAGGAGAATTGGAAAGATACGTCTTCTTATGGATCCGGCCTTCCTCTTTTTGGTGTGCGTTCAACCAGCGGAGTAGAAGGTGATAACAACGGCTTATCTTGGAAGCGAGCCCGCAACAACCTTGTGTTTAGAGCTTTGAGAGCTTACTGCTTGCGAGCTGTAGAGAATCACCATGCTTTGTTAGAGACTGCACAAAGTTGGGTTGCTGAGCAATTTGACATCACACCACATGCTCAGAAGCTATTCGACGCCGAACAGAAGCATGTTGCGAAGCTTACAGTGTTGCCGTCTCAAATCGGCTGCTTTTATGTATTCGACCCATTTGACCGCAGCGATGTTGCTTCGGCGACGAAAATGTTTGAGACCAACATGATTTCGGGAAAGTGTCGGCCGTGCCGCGTTTCGGAACAATTAGAAATTCCGTGTCGCCATATCCAGGCTATTCTCTTTGACTTGGAGAGACGCAATCCTGGCAAGATTCCTGTGCTACAGTATTTTCACCCAGCATATTTAGTCCGCAACATGCGTGTTGCAATGTGTGCGGTGAAGATTAACTTGCCCGTTAATGAAATGACGACCGCAAGTAGTTGTGTGTTACCAGCACCACGTTACCGACAAGCTGGAGGAACGCGCAGAGCTAGAGTTGGTGACAATCAGCGGGGTGAAAAGCGGATTCTTAGTAGGGGCGAAGAGGCCAAGCTGCCGTCCACGAAGCAGCAATGGACAGATGCGATAGTTGAAGAAGGGTACGATGAACACGATGCTACTCCTACCATTTACAAGTTTTCGCATCCAACATCACGTCTGCGAGCACACCAGACAGGTGCATACTACTGCACGAAGTGCAACAAGCCTGGTCACAACGCAAGAACATGCAGATTTACAAGCCAGGAAGTCAAAGAAGCAGGAGTATTGATTGTCCCTGGTGTGTACGTGCTTGGGGAGTCACCGCTGAAAGCTTGCGGATTGTCGCCAACGGTGTTGAGCACGATGGATAGCGAGTTCTTGTGATATCATGCTGGATATCATAGGTAAGGAACGTTTCACAACACGGAGTCGTATTAGATGAGGCTAACCAGTGCAAAATAATGCTAACGATACCTTGTTGACTCTTGCCAGGTCTTCTTTAGGAATATTTGCTGCGAATATACACGTCGGAGAATTAAAAGAAGCAAAACCAAGAATCATTGCCAGCGGAATTACCAAACCTTTATACCTTTTCATCCAGACGTCAAGCACCACCTTCCTACCTCGTTGAAGATCGGCATCTCCTCCCTCAACTTTAAACGGCACGAGGCTTTGTTACCACACCATTGACCGCCAACTCATGTGTGCCAGCGGAGATGACGAGCTCTCGAGCAGGAAGATTCAACAATGGCAGAAAACAATAACTCAAAAACTCAATAACCTCGTCTCATATTCTCTTTCCGCTACCATCACCACTGCAAGGTTGATCACCTTCAACTCATGACTATCAGTAGCAGGGATCAGGGGCAAACATTTACGGACACAGCCCTCTCGGCAAGCATGATGGTCAGTGTAATCCAAGGGCAAGCGATAAAGAGCTCTCATGTTAAAGTCACTGCAAATATGCTGTGGCTTGCCCACTTTCCATCCAGTGTAAACGTATTTCCGATTCACAAGGTACGACACAACTGCGTATAAGTCCAGCACATTCATAATTAACCTCAGCGCAGAATTAAATGCAATCACTACTACGTACTCTGTCTTGACTGATGCGGTAGACCCACGAAGAATCGTCGCCTTGATGGTGCAGCGCAGGAGCAGCACACCCCATATTCCCAGCTCATAGCACTCCCAACACATTAGACTAGGTCGACTCGCCGCACTGCACGCGACTCCAGTCCGGATGCGCCAGGACACAGCGTCAGATCTTCACGAGCTCCAGCAGCACGTCCGGGCTCCAGTTGCGGCCGCTATCGGGCAGCAAGTCCTCTCCATTGACCTTCACGTCCTGCAGGTCCGTCATGGGCGGCGGCAGGACTTCTGTTCCAAAAAGGGCTGCTGCAGCTGCAACGATGCATGCTGGAACGCGACGACAAGGTCATGTGTACGGTGGTCGGCCTTTTTGTAAATGGCAAGCAGCACGTGGGAGATGAAACGGACGTATTTTAGTCAATGGGAGAGTGTGCGTTCGTTGTGGAGTCTGAGCTGCTTCGTTGTGGAGTCTGGAGGTAAATATCCGGCGCAGGAATCTGCGTTCGAAGATGGTGCTAACAACGAAGGCTCTCTTGGCGTACCCGAATTTGGCGCTGCCTTTCAGGATGGGTTACTGACGCGAGCAAGGCCGGGCTAGGGGCGTGTTTGATGCAAAGACTATGGCAAGGCTGGCAGCCCGTCACCTTCGCCAGTAAGGTAAACAGCGAAGCCGAATCGAGATATGGCATCACGGAGTTGGAGTGCTTGGCCGTCGTTGGTCAGTCGAGCTCTTTGCCCGTATTTATATGCGCGGTGTTTTACCATAATTACGGATGATGCAGCACTTAAGTGGTTGATAACCAGCACCCACCTGGCGGGCAAGTTGCACAGATGAGCCCTGACACTCCAAGAGTTCGACTTCACGGTGGAAAACCGACCCAGATCGACGAACGTGGTGGCAGATGCATTATCCCGTGCACCGGTGCTGACGTTGACGACGGCTAGAGCCAGGAGACGGAGGCGGCGATTGCCGGTGCGTCCGGTTGATACAGTAACGGCTTCTGGAGACACAGGCGCGGGGGGGGGTAGCTGACGCAGAAAGACCGGTGGGGACGTTGGAGTCGACGAGTACACAGGCGGACCGCAGTTCTGTGCAGGGGGTGACAAAATCCTCTCCAACCCAGGCACCGACGTCACAAGTGGACGATATAGCGTTGGTAGCGGTAGTTAGCGATAAAGACGCAATAACCAGCACTGGAAGCGAGGACACAGATGCCCACACTGACACCACGGCAGCACCACGCAGCACCACAAAGAGGGCGACCTTAAGAGAAGACCGCCAAAACGCAGTACCACAAAGAATTCGGCCTTGGACCAGGGCCGCGAGACGCCAGCAGTAAGAAGATCGGCAGTGCAATGCTACACTGCCCTATGGAGACAATAGAGAGCCCGTTGGACCCACGGGCGCTGTTAGAAGCCGGGAAGCGGAAGATATTAAGGAGCCGAGCAACAAAACGGCGAAAACGGCGGAACCGGCTAACGCTCCGACCAGAACAAAGAGTGACGGTCTAACTAGGTCGCTGCAGCGCGCAGTGACGCGGAGTCCTTTGCTTGAACCGCAGCTGGTCGCGAGAAATAGTATAGATCAGGTAAGAATACAGGGAAGCACTATTGCCAAGAAGAAGAAGGCGACAGAGAGTAAGGAACGGTCGGTGCCAAGGACTGGAGCCACGAAGTCACCCTCGAGTGAGGTGCAGAAGATTCCGCAGCGGCAAAATGATGATTCGCGGAGTAAGGGGCCGACACTCCAATTGACGGATGCGACGATAAGCGAGGCTCAGGCCCGAAGTGGGCTGGTCCAGCGGCTGCTGAAAGCGGTCGTCTAACGTGGTATGAGAGCTGTAATGGAATACGGACTGGTATTAATTGAGACACCCAATGGGCGACGCGTTGTGCTGCCTCCCGAGCTTTGGGCAGTGGCTTTCAAGGAAAGTCATGATTCGGTGTGGGCAGGTCATCTCCGAGCTCCCCACACTTACGGCCGTATTGCACATGTCTTCTGGTGGCCTGGGCTGGAACAGGAAGTCAAGCGGTGAGTTCTGGGCTGCCAGGAGTGTGGAAGCCGAAAGGTCAGACCACGCGAGGTAGTACCGCCTTTGCGGAGTTTGCGCGGGGGAGATGTTGGTGACCGCTGGGCTCTTGACGTCGCCGGACCATTGTCTGTAACAGAAGGTGGTCAACGATATGTGCTAGCTGCAGTGGAATACATAACTAGATACGCTGTGGCGAGAGCCGTCGAGCAACACACGGCGGAAAACGTCGCTGCATTTCTAATGAAAGACGTAGTGCTTAAGTTCTGGCCATTCCGGGAGCTGCTGACAGATGGAGCCCCGGAATTGACGGGAAGAGTAATTGAGCAGTTGGTGATCATGCTCCAGGTAGAGCAGATAAATCCCGTACCGTACCGGCCCCAAATGATTGGCCTTGTGGAGCGCTTCCGCAGAACGTGGAAAGACTGTGTGGCCACATTTCTACAGACAAACGAGCAGCGGGACTGGGATGCCTGGGTAGATTTTGCAGTTTACGCGTATAACGCTGGACGGCACTCTACCGTGCTGATGTCTCCAAACGAACTGATGATGGGGAGACGACTGCGATCCCCAAATGAGCTGTTGCTGACGACAGGTGTCACTGCGGCTGGCAACCTCAAGTCGTATCACAAGCGGTTGCTGACGGCGATGCGCGAGGGACAACGATGCGCGGAACGAGCTCGTGAGCGCGAGCAGGCACGACAAGCTCGATATTACAACCGAAAGGTTAGGCAACGGAGGGAGTTCGGCGCGGGGGATAAAGTCTGGATGTATAGGCCACCAAAAGGGCCGAAGGCGTCGAAATTAGTGCATTCCTGGATCGGACCACTAAAGATAGTGGAACCCGCTGGATATGACAACTTTCTGCTGGAACGATAAGACCAGGACGATGATCGCGAGCTGTTTTTGGCACACGTTTTGTTTTTAGCTACCTATCATTTTCCTACGGACGTGCTCCAACAAGTGGCGGCGGATATCGAAGCTCAACTGGAATATGAGGGCAAGATCGAACGGTGGGAGGATGACCGGGAAACAGGAGCGACTACTCATGCAACGATGGCGCCTAACCAAACGGCCGCAGCAGCAGACGCTGGAAAGAAAAACCATCGCACAGTGGCAAGCGAAAGAGCAACCGCAAAGTCGGGTGGGCTCCTGGTGAAAGTACGGCGAAGACGACGGCGAAATCAGGCCGGTCAGTACGTGCTTGAATACCAGCTACGGCCTCTGCGAAGCAAACAACGGAGTCACGGCGGGTCCGCCAAGGCCGATCGATGGTATTCCGTGTCCGAATACGACGCGCTCGTTCAGGCCGATAGAGTCGTGGGAGACTCTAGATCTGAAGAAGGCGTGTAACAGGGCAATTATTCGGACCGACTTTGGTGCCGATAGAGCTGACGACAGCCAGCATCGACGAGTTAGTGACGTTGAAGATGGCGAGGGCAGCTGGAAGCGAGTGGCGGCTCGGGGTCAGGCACCCAGGGGCAAGGAGCACGATAGCGATCCGCTATATTCGAGTGATCTCGAAGGGTCGCTGTATCCGCAGCGGTAGCCGGATACAATGGTGACGTGGCAGTCGCCACGGGGCGGAGAAGGCGTCGCATGGAGAGCTGCGGACGGGGTGGACGTGTTGATTGGTGCGGATGGTGTGATGGGCGACGAAGTGTTGCATCACGAGACGCAGCGAACATCTGCGCACGGCGGTACCACTGGACGCCATCCTTCCAGTGGAAGGACGGATGTACCCACGATAAGTTGGTGCGCGGGCTGCGGGAGATCAGTTTTCGAATTAGCCCTAGGAAGCACAAGAGAGAGCGTGACCAAGGACCCCAAACGGTGTACGCGTGTACACCTCTGGACGAGAAGGAGGCGAAAGTGAAGAGGACGAGTCAAGCGTCGGTGCGCTTCAGTTGGCCTTAACGAAGCAGAAGTGTGGAGGCGAGTCAAGCGTCGTTGCGCTTGGACGAGCCTGGACGAGCAAGGAAGCGTGTCAAGCGTCGGTGCGCTACGACGCGTGGAAGTGCTGAGTGTGTGGGTACTCTACGGCAGTAGAGTAAGTAGTGAATATAAATAGGGCGTACGCTCCGGCGGCTTGGTGGCAGCCAATATCATGTTAAGTACGGCCGTCAGGACCCTGGCTGGCGATCTCAGTGGGCTCCAGTAACAGTGGTGCGACCCGTCGGTGAGCAGGCGTCCCCAGACCCGTTATAAAGTCGCAGATCGGCTCGTTGACTTTACGTCTCGCCAAACTGTGAGCAATATTAATCCAGGAGCGCCTCGCTGAATAGTTTCCAACGTCGCTGGGTCTTCTTCGGCAGTTGTCTATACCAAATCGTCGCCGCGCGTCCCAAGTATAGCGTAAATGGCTCGCACCAGGCACTTTATGCATTCTTGTGCTCTTCATCTCGTAGATAAAACGCTTGAGCCACTGGAGCGATGCGTGAGAACGGTAGCGCTTCCTTTTGAACTCGGCGATCTTGTCGAGTGAGGCGTGGTTCGGACTTCTAGGTACTGAGTCGACTCTTCTTTCTGCCGCGTCGAAGCTTAAGTGTCGCATGTAGTCCTTCACGGGTTTCTTCGCGGATTTCCTTTCACATCGAAGGCGTCATCGTCCTCTTCGTCCTTCTCGTAAGCTTCAGCTTCGTCTGCAG